CCCCCGGGGGGGGGGGGGGGGGGGGGAGGACTCACGTCTCTCTGCAGGAGGAACTGCTGGCCATCCAGTTCGCGGGGCAGGGAGTCCCCGACAAAGAGCAGCTCCAGAGAGACATGGGGGAGCAGGACCGACAGCTCCTGGGGGGGGGGAGAAAAGGGGGGTTGGAGCTCTCCTGGGCATTAAAGTTGTGAGAGCGATTTGGCTACGGCATAAATCAGGTTGCTCTGGAGCCCTCCTTCCTGAGCGAAGACAAAGACCTGTGAGCCAGAGGCTAAAAAACTGCGAACTGGCTCACACAAACTCAGCTTAGAGGGAGCACTGCCGGGGACATGGCCGACGAAGGCCGGCTCTTTGGGCAGGGCCTGGAAACAGACCCAGAGCCCAAGTGGGCCTTCAGGTCCTGACCAAACCCATCCCCAACAGTCCCCCCCCCGGCCAAAGGGGCGGCCCTGGGCCCAGGTCCCCAACCACCCTCTCCAGAGGCCCGGGAGGGGCCGTGGGGGCTCCGTGGCCGGGGGTCTGCCTGGCATGCCACAGGCTCGCTCCTTCCGCAGCCCCCGCCCTCTCCCTCCCGTGGGCCGCTCCCAGATGGTGGTGCCCGTTCTGGGGAGCAGGAGACGTGAACCGGGCTGGAACGGGTGTCCACGGCTGGCTTCCAGGGCTGGGCCAAGGCGCCCAGATGTGCCCGCCACTCCGCCAACCCCCACTCCCCATTTGCCCCATGCTGGAACTCCTCCTCCACCTACCCAGAAGACCATAAGGACTCCGAATTCTTTGCCGGCCTCCACCACATGGATCCGGAGGGATTGCTTGTTCAGGATATTCAGCTCTGGAACTGAAAGGGGGGGCTTGATGGGAGCAGCCGAGATGAGAGCCCACCCGGGCCGGCAACCCTCCCCCATCCAGGGATGGCTGAGCTGCTGCTGCCTGCTGGAGACCCCAGGCGGAGGTTCTGGGACCTGCTTGAGGGGGAGGTGGGGAGCCAGGGCAGCTTCTGCAAGGGAAGCGGGAGGTGTGGGGGGCGGTGCAGGGCAGGGCAGGGGAGACCCCCTCCCTCAGGCCTCTCCCCCACCTGAAACGGAACGTCTCTGGCATGGAGCTCCCCCCCTCCCTTAGTCGGGTGCTCCCTGGGGAGGTCTTGGCCAGGGTCGTCTGCAGCTCAGTCGGCCCCTCCCCCCAGTGTCCTCTGTCCCCTCCCCCCAGGGTGGCTGGCCCCAAAGACTTCGCTCCCGCTCCCAGGCGCTGCTGCGAGAGCCTTGATGTCTCCGGGTGGGGGAAGAGCCCCATCTCGGAGAGCCTGTGGGGGAGGGGCGAGGACAGCGTGGCCAGAGGGCTGGAGAGGCCTCCTCCTCCTCCTCCTCCTCCTCCTCGGATACTCACAGTGCTGTGGGGCCAGCTGGGTGATGATGTAGTAGGTGGTCAGAGGGGAGCCCAGGAGGACGGCCAGGGGGGCCCCCAGGGGCAGCCCCCGCCACTGGTAGTATTCCTTCCAGGAGCCTGTGGTGGGGGGAGGGAGGTGGAGAGCCATGGGGTCAGCGGCCGGGCTGCCTCACCCCCCCCCGCCGCCACCCCCCCCACTCCCCTGTAAGCCGGACTCACCAAAGAAGGTCCGTGGGGCAGGGGGCTCCGCAGGGGCCGGGGGCAGAGCCATCCCTCCTTCTGGCCGCAGGGCCTCGAAGGGGTTACCTGGGAGGGAAACCTGGTCAGGAAAGTGCGGGAGCCGGAAGCCCAGGACCGACACCCCCACCAGGGTTCCCTCTCTAGGCGGAGTCGGTGTGAGCCAGCCCACAGTTTCTTAGCCTCCGGCTCACACATTTTTGTCTCCGCTCAGGAAGGATGGGGCTCCAGAGCAGACTAATTCATGCAGGAGCCCAATTGCTCGCTCGCAACTTTAATGCCAGCAGCTCACAAAATAGAATTTTTGCTCACAAGACTCCACAGCTTAGAGGGAGCACTGACCCCCACCCCACCCCACCCCGAGGAAGCAGCCGCCCCTGGGAGGGAAGGGGAGGGAGGGAAGGGGGCAGGGCAGCCGTTGTGGAGATGCCCCCTGGGGAGGGAAGGGGCCTCAGCAGGGTGCCACGCCCACAAGGCCAGCCTCCACAGCAGCTGTTTCCCCCACCTCTGTGGCCTGTCATTCAACTGTGACTTGGGGAGCTCTTCCGGAGGGAGGACCCCTCCCCCCGGGGGGCTGGCCACCCTGCAGAAGGGAGCTGCTGGTTCTCCCGGGCAGGCAACCAGCCAAGGCTGCCGCCCTCCCCATTCCGCCCCCCCCCACGCCCCTCTCCTCTCACCGCTGTGCAGGAAGGCCACGGGCTCCTCGGCCCTGCCCAGCAGCCCCACGCCGTAGTCCGGGGCCCTGACCAGCATGCTCTCGCCGGCCCAGTAACCTCGGGTCAGGCCCCGGGCGGACAGGAAGCCTTCCTTGTTGAAATTCTCACTCGTCACCTCTGCAAAGGGGATAGGGAGAGGTGAGGTGAGTCCCCCCCCATCCTGCTTCCCGTCCAGTCTCCCCCCCCCTGGCACAGCAGCTTTCTCCTGCCGCCCCCCCCGAAGGGGCCACGTGCTCCTCTCCCTCGCCCAGCAGTGCTCCTCCTCACCTGTGGTAAAGGTGAAAGGCAGGTTGGCCAGCTCCTGGACGTGGCTCATATACCCGGCCATGCGCTGGCACCAGAACTGGTGCCCGATATCCTCTGGGCTGCGGTTCCAGTCCAGCTTGCGGCAGCGTTCGGAGCAGTAGAGGACCGCCTGGCAGTGTGGGCTGTGGGGAGGGGGCAGGAGAAGAGGCACTTCTTCAGAGCCCTCTACAAGTTGCTATTTGCCAAAACTGGAAAAAAATATAGGTAAATCATATAACATTTCTAAGTCAAATTCAGGTGGCTAAAGTTTTATTCCAAGTGTAAGCTTTCGTGTGCAAAGCACGCTTCTTCAGACAAATTGGAATGGAATCTCCTTATAGGGAAAAAGAGGGTGGATTTATCCTTCACTACCCGAAGGTGTCTCAGAGCGGCTCACAGACTCCTTTCCCTTCCCCTCCCCACAACAGGCACCCTGTGGGGTTGGCAGGGGGCTGAGAGAGCTCTGACAGAAACTGCTCTTTTTCAAGGACAGCCTTTATCAGAACTATGGCTTGCCCAAGATCATCCAGCCAGGTGCAAATGGAGGAGGAGTGGGGAACCAAACCCGGTTCTCCCAGATCAGAGTCCCCGCACCAGACTGGCTCCTCCTGGGCCACCGGAAGGGAGAGGCCTGCCAGGCCAGCCAGAGCTGAGACGCAGAGTCCCAAGGACTGAGGCGGGAAACAGCCCGGGTTGCCAGCTCTGGGCCGGGAAATGCCTGGAGACTTTGGGGGGTGGAGCCTGAGGAAGGGAGGGACTTCAGTGGGGCACCACGCTGTCACAGAGTCCACCTTCCAAAGGGGCCATCCCCACCAGGGGAGCCGATCTCCGTGGTCTGGCCACCAGCTGCAATAACGGGAGAGCTCCAGCCACCACCTGGAGGTTGGCAACCCAGTTGGCAACCCGGCCATGCGAGGAAGCCCTCCCGTGCACAAGACGGACGTCTGCAGAAGAGACCTCGGGGGGGGGGGGGTGCGTGGCTGT